AAACCTTTTTAATTAAAACCAGAGAATCACCCAGACAAGAAAGCCATGGGGGTAGGAAGAGGCACGTGTTGACCTTATGAAACTTTGCAGCAGGTCTCGGTAGGAGCTGTTTATGCTGCAAAAGCACAGTTTTAATTAAACAGTCCCAGAAAACAGACAAGCTCAAAGAACAGGTCACCTAGATCTCAAGAGGTCACTTTAAGCATAAGCAGAGTAGAGACAAAACTCCTGCTCATTTGACCTTCCTTTGGAAGAGCCTGTTGTTGTTAAGACACAGTTCATTTGTACAGTATCTCTCAGCATGCAAGCAGATGCCCACCATGGGAGATGTTTTGTGTACTAAATCTGAAGTAATGGGGCTACCTTGACCCCACAGCATTCTAGCATGAGACTGAGCAAATCTTGTTGGCAAAAAGGCAGGCCAGGGAGCCTATAAAAACACAGTCCACTTCACTCTCCTGATGGGGGATTATATATCGAAATAAACCCAGCTGTATTCCCATCAATGTGTAGAACTCCAGATTTGTGCATGCCTACTTGACCAGGCTTATCATTAGAATGGCAGAAAACTGTTTAAAATGAAGTCCCGTACCCAACACACACACTTAGGTGTGCCATATTAGTGTAAAAGTAAGGCAGGGTGGCACTTTGGAGACTGATTCAGAGAGACATGAACTTTCATATGCAACAGCCTTTGTCAGATATTATGAATAGACTGACAGAAAGAAAAGACTATATATAGAGGGGAAAGGCATGGGGGAACTGACTCTGCTAAGATCAATTGATACGAACAAGGCAATTAACACACTGTATCACTGTCAAACCCCAGGTTTTCTGATTTGGCTGAAGTTTTACTATCTGAAGAGTTTTTGGTTACTAGCATTTGATGCATCACTTTACATAAGACCTGGCCCACCTGAAAGTGAACAGTTCAGGAAGGAGGGATAAAGGGCATGCAATCCAAAAACTGGAGGCCACTGAGAATTTCTATGCGTCGGTTGAGTCATATAAAGTAAAAACAGCTGCACCTCTCCATGAGAGCTAAGACACCATGAAGATAGGGCACAAAATGGGAAGGTGAAACCTGGTAGTAAATTCAAGAGAATCCTTTAATGTTAGTATACTTCTTACTTTATCAATAAATAAAGCAAAACTGTACAAGTGTTCAGAGTTCCAGTATAAATTATTTCTAAAAGGGGAAAGGAGATCCTTTGCTGAAGCTACATGCAGCTCTTTGGACTGGCGTTTCATATGCCTTGTGAGTGAGCTAAGAGAGCTCATAGTGAAGTATGTGCATGCTAAGTCATGGCATGTTTATTACAAGATTGACAGGCAGAAACAACAAATGCCAGTGGAAGGATGTTTTCTTATACAGTGGGAGCAGCTAGCAGGCTGGTTGAACTGGCATTTAATTCCTTTGCTGAACTGTCAAAGATACAAGTGGAACACCACTTCCAACACGGAGCAGGTTACTCTGAAATCCCATTATAACACCAGAACAATACACCCCTTTCTCATTTCCCAGTGTCTATGTTTGTAGAAGTTTAGAAACTGCATCATTCTATATCCATAACTTCAGTTCTTCCTTCCCTTACTTCTGTAGGCTGCATGTGTATATTTAGTCTCTTCATATATCCTCATTTGTGGTATTATGTTACATATCTCCTCACTGGGCAGGCATTTATTTTACGTAGTTGTTTTCAGGGGGGAGGGGAAGAGAGTGCCAAAAAATAGCAGTCGCTCATTCCAAAGCAGAAATTCTAAATTTGAATAGAAGATAAAAATTGAGAGCTTATGCCTGGCAGTGAATTATTTCCTGGCAAACAAGAACCAGGCAATCACACAGGGATACAGAAAAATGCAACAAAAGCAGTCCTGAACTAGGGAAGATTAAAAATAGCAGAGGCATCCTGTGCTAAGAGACTTAAGGCACTGAACAGAGAGGTGCCTCACCCAGAAGAAATTCTTACAAGCAGGGACTGATCCAGAGGACTAGAATCATGAAATCGTGATTTTGTACAGAGAGAACATATGTTTCCCTAGTGTTGCACGTGGAAGTAACATCAAAATCAATATACTGACAAATCCAGTCCCATATTACCTATGTGTAAAGACATACAATCCTTTATGTACTACTTGTGTTTGCATGAGTTGGTAATTTGTCAGTTGTTTGGCTCTAATGCATAAAATATTGGGTGATGTTCTGATCTCTCTCGTGAAACTGTCTAGAAGTTATTTTACTACAGGTGCATGGAATGGAAATTCAAGTGACCCATTTAGAAAACACTGCCTGTTGCTAAGACACATTTCAGCCTTCTTACTTATGGACCAGAAGTCCCTAGTAAATAGGATGGAGATACATGAAAACAAGATTAGTGTGTAACTTCTGCCTACAAAAAGAAAAAGGGTTTGGAGAACTCAACTCTGTATGTAAGTGGTTGGATGAGTTACTGGCAAAACATACTCTAATGATGTATTGGTTTCTACTTCTAAAAACAAGACACACGTCTGTTCAAAGTCCAAGAAGTGCATTAGTTATCTAGTATTTTTTCCCATCAGGATAAACAACTGTCTTGAATTCTCCTCTCAGGACCACACCCGGACAGTAGTTATGGACATTTGGACCTTTGCCTCCAGAGCCCACAGCTATGAAGGGCTACATAATTGTATTCGCTTCCTTGATCTATTCAGTTTTTTCATGCAAATATTAGGAATAAACATGAGACATCCTGAATGTTTACATCATGAAGACAACATCTCATTGATCTTTGCAAACTACAACATATACTGTCACTGACCTGCTCTGGTGTTTGGCTGGGATCAGTTGATGGATAAGAAAGCGCCAACTAAGCCATATAAAATGGAGATTGTGCTAGGAGCACAAGTGAAGCACTTGCCACTGCACAGCTCTCTTCACAATTTGTGGACACATCCTCCACCAGCAACAGGCCTGCCATTTTGAGGTGCTCCTACATTGCTCATTGGTACTGGGATCTCTCAAAAATAAGAGTAGGTAGCAACCTATATCCCATATTTGTTCCCAGTGATCTGGCCTCAAAGAGTTCATACCTTCCCTACCTGGACTGATATCAGACAGTTTACTCCAGAGGCATAAGTAACAATTTTTATGCCCTGGAAAAACCCTGCTGGTAGTGGTTTTGGGGAGGGGGACATAGGACCTACCTACCTACTTTGTGGTCAAAAATCCTGGCTGCTGTTACTGCCTTGCTTTTTGCCTATCTCCAGCTGTTGCAGCAGCAGTTACTGCACAGGCAGTGTCTCTGCACCCAGCTGCTGCTACCAGGAGTCTCCACTCAGGTGTCCCAGTTAACTCAGGGCTGGTGCCTCATGTCATGTACTTACCATAGTTATACTGCTGGTTTACCAGAGCTTGAAAGCAGTATCACATGTTACCCAGATTACAGGTAACCTTGTAGGTAGGCTATTGAGAAGCGGCAGAAACAAGTCTACAGTCCAACTTTTTATTTGCTTGCACTTCAAGACACCAAAACAAACATTTATCCCGAAGTCCATTTGGCTAGGAAGACTCAGGAAGTGGGAGGAGGGGGTGCACAGATTGGAAGGAAGTCTTTTTTAATTTGCTGAGTTCAACAAATTTTCCTCTAGCCTATACCCCATATTTATAGATGGCTGATTCTAATATTCTAATAAATTATCTCTGATTGGTTTTATTTAAATTTCTTTGTTTCACTGAAACTTTTGGTGCTGGACTGACCCAGATGTCTTGTGGACTTGGAAGGTGTCAATTAGCTTGGATTTATATCCTTGGGAAAGTAAAAGGGAGAGTTTCTCTCCTTTCCTTTCCCATTGTGGGATGATGTTCAATGCTGTTCTGCTTCTTCTTTATTTTAGTTTATGGTCTTCTCTGACAAGGCTGTTTTGTTTCTACAAACCATCTAAGCATCTTAAAAATATATCTATTATAACAAAATAGTATCTAATACATTTAGTTACATCAATCACTACTATACTATTTTAAGATAAAGCTATGATATAGTATGTTTGAATTATTTAATGGATAGTACTCCCTGATAATGTCTCTTTCCAGGCCTTGTGTTTTGTTCAATTGCATAGCATTTCTGGTTTAGTTAGCCATATAGATGGCTTCCTTTACTTTGCTAACCAAGCTAGTTGTCACATCTGCAAAAGTTCATGCTATGATCACTCAGGAATAAGCGTTGGGGACTTCTGCTTAGCCACGCTTCTGCAGGTTGGCCTAGGCCCCTTGAAAATGGCCAAGGATGGCAGCACATGATAGTGATAGGTTAATGAGAGCATGTCTGCTGACTATACTGGCTTTTTCTAGATCAAGTTAATTTTGCCTTTTGGTCCCCATTTTCAAGGATCTAAAAAAATAGAAGAGACTGGAAAAATGTCACCTTATTCCCCACTGCCTGGGTAACTGCTCCTTGGAAACAGTAAGGAGCACCAACCTTTAGGGTAAGATATGGCCAAGAGATAGAGCTTTGTCTAGGTCTAGCCAAAAGCTCTGATATTCACTGCAAAAGGAATGAAAAACAAGTTATTATAAGCCTCATATTTGCCAGTTCAACACAATTTGACCTTGCTCTTGTACAAAGCAATGCAAAGCATATTTATTTTAAACAAAAAGGGTGGGATATCAAGAACCTGTCCCACAAGAGAAAAGAACTAATCTAGAACATCACTTGACACTTCCAGTCTCATGTTGTTTATTAATCTTGGTGTTGCACATACCAGAGTGTTAGGTACAGAAAGCATTATAGACTAGCATACAGTAGAGATTACGAATGTGAGAAATCAGAAAATATTTAATTATTACTGCCTATTGCCTGTTTATTGGGCAGTCAACAGATTAGAGTGCAGAGTTATTGAGATAATGATGGATTTTCAAGTGGAGGAAATTGGAGGGAAGTGGGAGGGAACTGGAGAGGGATGGCTGGGGGGGCAGCCCCCCCCTCCCGCCAAACCAAACAAACCCCCAAAAACCCAACCCTTACCTCCATTTTTGCCCACTGTTCGGAAACATCTCCAGAAAGTCCGTAGATAGGATGCCCTATTATGAGGGGTGGCTTGCACAAAGCTGAACTCTCGGAACAAAATGTGAGTTCCTTGACGGACGCTGTTAAAACTATAGAGATAAAATCAAAACAGACAAAATGTTAGAAATCAGAACCCAAATTGGACACCCTCAGACCATCTCAAATGGTTAAAAAATAATAAGAAGAAGAAGAACAACAACAACAACAACTTTGGAAAATATTATACTTTACAAAGCTAATCTCCCAGATTTTACAGTTTACCTTCACCTCTTCGTTAGGTGGAAGCCTACGTGCAAAAGCACACCCTCAATCTCAGGCTTCTATTATATGATTTAAGGGCTCTTGAAACGCATAACAACTTATTCTAAAATAACCCAAGGGGTGTCCACGGGTCATTTGAAAGCTTTAGAGACTGAATGATGCATCTTTCTTCCTCCTGAGCTGAAGAAATAGCTGGAGTTCTATTACCATATTTGTCCATCTGTCCAAAATGCATCTTCCTTTTGCGCATTTGAACTGAGTTTCCTTTCCCTCTACAATCCTCCCTAAAACCACGACACTCCCATCTTAACAAGGATATTAGGATTTTGCTTCCAGAGAACTGGTACTTTCTTGTATTGTTGGTGCAAATTCACTTTCAGTTTTGGCAAGATCTTAATGGCAATTCAGAGTGAAGCTGACAAATGCCTTTGGTAGGGAATGTCTCTACAGTCTAGTTTCCTATTCAAATAGGAATAGGCTTTGATAGGCAACTAGTTTAAGTTTTATTGTTTCATGCTCAAACACAAGTGGTCCAATATTTGAGTTGTAATCATTACAAAATATCCAATAAAATACTAGTTTAATAAACTTGTAGTTAGATTTTGTTCTCTCTCTCAGATTTTGAAGAAGCATTTCTGTTGACTCCATGTGTTGTAAAGGATTAGAAATGCCCTTTTAAGATCAAATTAAAATCAATATGCAAGAGAGACAGAAACAAATATAAATATTATAAGCCAAAGTTGCTATGATAGCATCTCCTCAAGTGAAAAAGGAACCATATATGCATGTTACTGTGCTTCTTTCAAGTAGGAAAGAAAGATAGGCACTTCAGAGAATCATTAAAAGACTCCCCCAGAACAGCAGCATAGTGGATCTCTTGTAGAAGGGCTAATGAAAAAGACTGGGATTCATTCAAACAGCATCACAGCAGAGCTTCTCCATTAGCAACTTCCCCAAAGGAAATAAAAGTCATTAGTTAGGGGAAATCCTTTGGTTAGCTATTTTTATGAAACAAGATCCTGTATTATAACTTGATAGTCAAATAATTTGATTACAGACATACCCTTCACAATACAGAAAAGGTCTCTGAGACACAACAGCAAGCAGAAGTTAAAAGAATGGTCCCCATGTCATTTAAAAAAAAATGAAAAAATTATATTGTTGCATTATGGCTCAAAAAATCATTGGAAAGAGAACAGATTCTACCACCATGGTCCACAGATAAAACTTTATTAAAATAATGTATTTCTTATACCATACTAGAACAATTGTAATTAATTCTAGTGATGCCTCAAGAGACGGCATCATGAGATTTTTGAAATATAAAGATCAGAAGCCCTTTAAATGGACACAAAGTTAATCTGATTTTTTTTCACTAGTTACTTGGCAACACTGCTACAAGTCTCGACTCTTACAAATTTATCACAAGTTTCACAATTTTTGGTCTTTTTCCTAATATCCCAGCTCCTGGAGACATGCAACTAGATGAGACTCTGAACTTTAACTGGAAAAAGGGTGTGTGTAGACAAAATGAGGGGCATGTGTGCATGACACTTTACAGTGGGTTAAATGCTGTTGCACTGCTTTAATAGCATTGGTGTTTGCATGCATTGGAGGTGTACTGTGCATTAATTCCAGCCACTGTAGCACATTCGGCAGCCTAATGCGCCTTAAATGACTTTGGGCCGCAGCAAACTAAAACACACCCGAGGAGTTTTAGTTTGCTACCCCACAGCCACCGGAGCAAAGCACCGGACTCCACGCGGCTCATGGGCTGTGCGGGCAGCCTGGCAGCAGCCTGGGAAAGCAGGCTCCACTGAACTAAAAAAAAAGTGGCGAGCCTGATCCCCACCCCCCGGAGCCTGCCTGCCTGCTTGAGTACCCGGTCCTTCCCTCCATGGCTGCAGTGCTCCACAGGACTGCCTGAGTCAGATGCCTGGTAGTGACAGGGGCAGGTGCTAATGATTCCTGGCGGAAAGCCCTTAGGCATGGACCTTCATGGAAGCAATGGTTTTATGATGGTAGTTTTATATGTGGAACTGAGGTGTGCAATTTGGCAGCTGCAATCATGACTGAACAGACCTATTTAGGGTTCACTCTACTCACTCCAGATGGGGAAGGGGATAGAAAAGATGCCCTAAGCATAGTCTGTCTCATTTTACCTTACTGGAAAACTGCATCCAGTAGAATCACTCTATCTGCAGTACAAATCAAATAATGCAGGGGTTCCCAACTTTTTTATGCTGTGGACTGGCAAACCACAGACCAGCAGTGACCGGCATACTGTGGGCAAGCAGCCAACCCTTTTTTATACCGAATTGGCTGCCGTACTTCTGAGTCTGCAGCAGGGAGCAAAAGCAGAGGCCACTATCAGTGGGTGCGGGGCACGGGGCCACAGCTCTTGCTGCTATGCATGCCCCAGGAGGGCTGCAGGCTGGGGGGCTGTGCCGGGCTCTTCCTAGGGAACGTGTGCCCCCAGATCTGTGTGCTGGACAAGAGCAGCAGCCTGTTTTCATCTGGTGTGCAGATCTGGGGGCACGCACCCCCCAGGAAGAGCCCGGCGCAGCCTCCCCAGCTCACAGACCTCCTGGGGCGCATGCAGCAGCAAGAGCCGTGCCCCACACTCACTTACAATTCCCTCCACTTTGCTCACTGCTGCAACCCCAGGAGCGGCTGACGCCACCTGCCTGCTGGATTTATGAGGTTATACTGTACATGCATAGTCTCTCACAGAAAACATTTGCTTTGGTTACAAAGAAGCAAATAATGTCCCACTGTACAGAGGAGCTAGATAAAACTCTAATTATTAACTTATAAGAATGTCAAGCAGGATCAAAGATGCTACTGGAGAGGCAAGAACGGTTACGGCTGTCTGGATGCTTTCAGACTATGTTATAGAGGAGGGGTAGGCAATTATTTTAGCTGGAGGGCTGCTTAATGAGTTTTGGTGAGCTGTCAAGGCCCACAAGGGTAGCCCCACTCCTAGACATGTGCCTTACCCCCGGTCACAATTTTGAGACTGGAAGTTCCCCCCCAACCCCTGACCTTTGTCACCAGAAGTCCCTCCCTGGCCCCTGGAAGTACTCCTTTGGGGGTTGGAGGGGGTTGCCATCTTTGAACCAGAAAAAAAACAAATCATACACTAAAAGTCAAACACCTACTATAACATATTTTAATTTTATTCAAAAAATATTTTTGTCATGATTTGTGTTTGTGTAGTGTGTACATAGAGGTGATTGCATAATAGTTAAAAAATTAAGTCTCACTCTTGTATATTGTTTGTGGGGAACTGTGTGGAGTGTGGTTGGGGATGGGTGTGTGTATATGGTGGGGTGTAGGGGAATGTGTCGGGGAGGGGTTGTGTCTATGTAAGTGGGGAGGCCTGGGGTATGTTGCGGGGTGTGTACATAAATGGATGGGTTGTGGGAGTAGTTTGGGTGTATAAGGGAGGGTCGGCAGGTGCCGGGCCCCTCCCACATACTCCCCACCATGGCACAGAGGCTCTCAAGGCACTTCTGCGCAGGCACTGCTGTCCAGAAGCACGCACCTCTGGCTAGAGCTGCACACAGCAACAGCCAGGCCAGCCTGCCTCTATCGTGCACAGCTCCCCATGACACACGTGCAACTCAGGCATCACCAGGGGGAAGCCCCGTGCAATGGAGCCAGATGCCTTCCCTGCTGCCTGCCATCACATGAAGCTGCCAGGACTCTATTGGAAGTGGTTGGGAGCCCCAGCCTCTGTTTCCCTGGCCACAGGGAGTGGGGAAGGCAACTGGCTCCATCAGGCAGGGCTTCTCCTTGTGGTGCACAAGTGCTGGGAGCTGCACATGCATCGAGGGGCGTCCCATGTGATAGAGGCAGGCTGGCCTGGCTGCACTCCTTGCCACCATGTGCAGCTGTGGCCAGAGCCGTATGCCACCGGGCAGCAGTGCCTGCATGAGCCACAAGCACCCCAATTGCCTGCCACCTCCTGCTGCTGCCACCAGCAGTAGGGGCTGTGCACCACTGGGGGAGTGTGTGGAGGGCCCCCCCACACCCAACCACCCTCCCTCACACCCCACCCTGCCCACCTGAGCTCGATGCACCCACTGCCCCCCTGGGCACGGGCTCCGTGCTCCTGCCAGCCCCATAATACCTGGCCCCACCCAGTTGCAGCTTCTTGCCTGAAGCTCTCTCTCCCTCACTTTTCCCCTGGGGGGCACTGGAGCTGGGGGGGTTGGGCAGGGCTAGGGGAAAGAGGCTGCAAGTAGGCTCTGCAGCTTGATCAACTCCGAAGTGGAGTTCAACCTCCCCCCACCCCCAACAGGCGAAAGTCAGTTGGGTCAGGAGGGTCACTAACTCATGGCACTTTATGTAAAGCAGCATGAGTTAGAGTAGGGGCCTGAACATCTGTTAGCACCCATTATTCTGTTCAGCACCAGTAAGAAGATGGTTTGTATACAGAACAGAAAGAGCCACTTTTACCCTTAGCTACTTAAGCAACTACTTTTAACATCTAGACATCTGATGTAACAGCCTGCAGGGATGTCCTCTAGAAGGAAAAGAATTTGGATATATATATATTTTTAACAAGCTCCAAAACTGCTGATTTTAGATCTAGCAAAAACCTCAGTTTTTTGCCGTTCTACACAACATCTCAGATGGAGAAATTTGCACATTGAAGTTCCCAAGAATGAGATCCCTGACTCATCCAGTTGCACTAGAAATTAAACTAAAGCCCTCATTAGTTCACTCTAATATGCTGTTAGCACTTGTGCTATACTCAAAGGTTTTGTTAGGTAGATGGATAATCCCTCCATTAGTAAAAGCTGCCTTTCCCACCAGTGTA